ATTTTATTTATTTATCTTAGAGGGGAAGGGAAGGAGAGAGGGAGAGAAGCATCAATGTATGGTTGCCTTTCGTGCATCCCCTGCTGGGAACTGGCCTGCAGGGAACTGGTGTGCAACCCAGGCACGTGCCCTGACTGGGAATCGAACCGCGATTGTCTGGTTCGCAGGCCCGCGCTCAATCCACTGAGCTACACCAGCCAGGGCTGATGTTATTTATTTTTTAAGCGTTTGATTGAATCCACCAGTTAAGCCATCTGAATCTTGGGCATGTATTTATTGGAAAGTTTTTAACTGCAAATTTAATCTCTTTTAATAATTACAGGAACAATGAAATTATATATTTTATTCCAGTTAAGCTTTGGTAGTTTGTGGTTTTTAAGATGTTGGTCCATTTCATCTAAACTGTGGGATTTATGTGCCAAGGTTTTGAGCATCGCCTAATTGCCAATTTAATGGTTGTGGAGCCAGTAGTGGTGCGTCCTCTTTCATCCCTCTTATATTCTTTCATGTGTCAGTGATGTGTGCTTTTTTGTCTTTTTGGTTCCCTAGTTAGAGATTTAGCAGTTTTGTTGTTTTTTCTGAAATACCAACTTTTGGATTCATTAATTTTTTCTGTTTTAAAATTTTTGATCTCCATTCTTCATTATTTTTATTTTTATTTTGTTTGGTTTATTTATTTTTCTCTTTTTTAAGCCCTTAAGAAAGAAGTCTTTCTTCTTTTCTAACATAGGCCTGTAATGCTACTGATTATCCTGCATGCGCTCCTTCAACCGCATCCCACATATTTTGATATGTTGTTTATTTTTTTTTCACTTTTTTCAGTTCAAAATATTTTCTAATTTCCCTGAGACCTTCTTGTTGACCTGTGGGTTATTTAGAAGTATATTCCTTAATTTTTAAGTATTTGGAAATTACCCTGTTATTTTTCTTTTATTGATTTCTAGGTTAATTCTATAATTAGAGGATAGACTTTTAATTCTTTATATTTGTTAAGGTATGATTTATGGTATATGGCATGGCTCACATGTACTTGAAAATAATGTGCCATGATTAATTTTTAGAGTCCTCAAATAATTACTCCACACATTCTGCCTAGGCTTACAACTGCTTTCACTGAGAAAGACAGGTAGAGTTTGCTTACTTTGTTTTACCCAGAATTAGAGACTTTCACGTCACTTTGCTAAAACTTTTTCATTGATCAATACTGTATTCTGAAATATTCTCCACAAAGATCCTTTTATGGGTCAAACACCTAGAAGTTAGGTAAAAGATTGATGATGAAAAAACTCAGAGTTTTAAATAAATGCTGTCTCCTTTTCTGTGAAATGGGATAATTAATAATTTGACCTATGTCCTTAAAAGACTCCTTTGGTATAGGTGTGCAAGATCTGCTCACACTTTACTAGTAAGTTAGACAAGCAGGAAGAAAGGGTCGGATGGGATCAGGACTCAAGTAAGTGTGGTGGCTTCAGGGCTGGCCTCACATGGAGATAACCATCCAGGGTGGGTGCTTTGGTGTTAGAGGCTAAGTATCCAGTAGGCAACTCATAGCCAAGGGCTTCAGTTGACCAGGAATGAAGCAGGCAATAGCAACTTCATGCCTGTGTCAGCTAATCCAGTTTAGAGAAGACCTTACAGGGGACGAGAGGCAGGTTCCTGGAAAAGAGTGCTGACAAATACCAGGTTGTACAACCAAGCCTCGAGCAGGCTGATGGGCTTCAGAGAGTAGCTGTGATCTGAGCATGGAGCTATGTGTGGAATCAAGAAACAGGGAGAAGTCCAGTCCTGTGGCCTATTGAAATGCCGCTGTGCAGAAGGAAGGCCAGCAAATTATTAGAGAAATGACTGTCCCGGGAAAGCAAATCTAGTTGTTTTAGTCTGCTACATGCTGGCTCATTGCAAGAATCCAATGGTCAAGGCTAACTGAGGGATAAGGAGGTCCTATTATTGAGCCCAGAGAATGTAGAAAATAGAATGGTTTGTTTACAGAGGTCAATGTTAAAGTTTTGAGCACATTTTAATAATCATTATTAACATGACTGCTTATTACATAGACCTAAATACATATATGAAATTTCTCACTAGGTAATATAGGCATCCAAGTTGATATACCAAGAAAAAAATGACATTAAATATGAAAGAAATACCAATACCTCAAAGAGGAAGTATGAAAATGATCATATAGTAAATGAAATGGATAATGCAGGGAAGGCTGACTAAATATTTATTATATAAAAATTTGATCATCTAAAGCAAGGGCAGAGTCTGTTAAACCCTATCACAGTAATCTAAAGTCAGGTTGCAATTCACGCCATGAGGAACCATGTGCTGTTAGGCAGGTTCCATTGCTTTCTGACAGTTTCTCCATCTCTGCAAATACCCAGTGCCCCCTCTCCCCAGGAAACTAGAACCAAAGTGTATTACTAGTCACCATAATAAAATTCTGAGGCAGAAAGCAAGATGATGTTAAATGAACCTGCCTTCTTGGAGAGTCTCAAACCAGTCAGCTGCCTCCCACTAACCTTGATATCTTTAGTCTGTCAAAACCAGCCTACGCAATCACAATTTTTTCCTGTCTTCTTTATTCTAATTCATCACAGGCAGGGCTGACCCTGGATTTGTCTTTGCACACAAGTTATCTTTATATTAGCTTTACCTTGGTGACCTGACTCTTTGCTGCCTCTGGCATAATCCAGTTACTCATGAGAATATCAATTAAGGTCCTCAATCACACTAATTAGAATGTCTTCTAAGTGTTGCTTTAGGAATAGTATTAGGACTGAAAGTACTGTGCCCTGAATCTGAAATTAAATATCTAGTTGCTCTCCACTGACAAGGATTAATGCAGAATTATTAATTAATTTTATTAATGACTTGGGCGAGGACACAGGTGGCACGCTGAGCGAGTTTATGGATGACACAAAGCTAGGGGGATAACAATTACTGTGATGACAGACTCAGGAGTCAAAATGATTTCGAGACAGAGTTCAGTGGCAATCCATCCGACGTGTGCCTGGAAGAATGATCTCTGTGAGGCAGAACTTGATGATAATGTCACTCCTCTAATCAGAAACCTTCAGTGATTCCCCTATTTGCTGTTCAAATTACATTTCAAGTTTCAACCTGCTATTCAAACCTTGTTATATTGTAATCCTAACTCTTCCTGCTTTCCAACAAAATCTTCTATAGTTCTCTTCCTAACACTCTCTGCTTAAGCCAAGCTGAATTATTTATAGACTATTTCCTATTTATGGCCCATGCTTTCTCTATCTTTGAGCATTATTCTCCATTTCCAAACCAGTTCTTGCTAGTTCAGAAGCTACCTCTTGCATTTGGTCTTTTTTGATTGCCTTAGCTGGAGTCATCTCTGTCTTTCAACAATTTTAAATAACACTTATCTGTTCCTCTGTGACTATTTTATCGCTGTTTATTCTCTGTTGCGGTTATTTTTGTATACTTTTTAAGTCACTGCTAAACTCTGCCCAGTGCTGAAACTTCTGTTTGGTAAATTTTTACGTATCTTATAGTGCCTTTTCATGTATGCTGTTCATAGTTGACGTCATTGAAGTGGTGTGCATGTGGTTTACCTGTTCTACTGGGAGAAGTGCGGGAGGCCCTACATCTAATTTATAAACAGATACTTTTCAATACATGTTTTATTGAATAAATGAATGACTGATAGAGATAAGCGTTCCCTAAGATAAGGATTTAAGAATAGGAAGGGAAGGGTGGTGATAAGAAAGAAATATTTAATCTTTGAGATAAAACAATTATTTAAGGTATAATCAACCCAGTTGTCATTTGTGGAAGCATAAAATGAACCAGAGATTTTTAGAGATACGTGGTCGAGAGAGGTGACAGTTGGAAACTTGCATTGCCTTTAAAGTGACCACACACTTTGGATGGCTTGGACAGTACCACTTTATACCTTTTGTTTCAGTGTAACACTCTTAAAACTGTACCATTTTAAATGTTGTTATATGACTTTTGGCCTTTTAAGACTGGCGGGTCCCTGTGGTTGTGAAACTTGTGGCATAGGCTATTGTTTTTGATAATAACAGACTTGTAGTTGGCCAGATGTGGGTATAAAGATCACCTCTGTCACTTACTAGAAATAGAAATTGCAGAAGTTTCCAACACCACTGTAGGCACCCTTATATACAGCTGCTGTGTTCAATACAGAAAGTGGAGATCTTAAGTACGAAATTTCTCAATAATGTACAGGTTTCTGTATTTATAATTCTAGAGAAGTTTTTATCAAGTTTCAGATATGTCTAGGGTAGTAGGAAAATAAGTATTTCACAGATTGTTTAATCTCCAGGTCTTATGTGTTAAAGACCACCCAACCAAATGTAAGGGCATGGTTCTTTCTAGTTGACAGTTTCAACTGGTTATTGATAGAAAGGCTAGAGATCACAGAAATTGGATTCAGGCCTCATCATTTATCTTTTCCAGTGAAAAGAGAAGAGTGGCCACCACGAGGCATGAGGCTTATATAGTTCCCTTTACTATAAATTCACTGTAGTGGACTGCTGACTACATCTGAATTCGGGATTTCTAGATTTTCTATTCTTCACAAAGAAAGAAAAGTGCCTGGATTATTAAACATTGCCAAGGAAATGCAAAGAAGGGTAAGAAGATCAAACTTACCTTCCAGAATGTGACTCTGATGAAAAAAAAAGTCTAGAGTATTTTTAAGAAGGAGGTTATAGTTCAGTGATTAAGAAATTGTTCTAGAGCCAGGCTGCTGGAATTTGATCATTACTCTACCTCTTTCTACCCAAAGGATCTTTGTTGTGGTGTTTAAACACGTCCCAGTTTCCATATCTATAATATAGGGATTTTTAAAAAGCCTACCTTATGGGTTGGTTCTGACAATTAAATGTGTTAATATTATAAAACTGTTAGAATACTTCCTGGTCCACAGTCAGCATGCTTATGCACTAAATATTATTTAAGAACTAAGAGTAATAAGTATCCTCCCTTACTTCTGTGTTTAGGTGGACAAGATGAGACCTCTGTGGTGTGTAATGAGTCTCTACTTCTACGGGATCCTGCAGAGTGATGCCTCGGGTAAGTGAATGGCTTTTGACAATCTATTGAAATGGAAGCCATGCATAGGGTAGTATTGTAAGTGTTTCTGAAACCGAGTAGGAGAATATTATATTGTTATTTCCATTGTCTTCTGTGAAAGAACAGAATCATAAATTAGACAGAGTCATACAATTTTGATGACGGGAGGAACCACTGACATTTTCAGTGTTTGCAGTTCACTGCGTACTTAGGGTAGCAGTCTGGTGTGTAAGAATATAAAACCTTTGCATAATCTTCACATTCAGGCCAACTTGAATCCTACTTCTTTTTCTTAACCCAGGTCCTTTGGGAAAAGAAATGACAGTGATGGCAGCACAACTCTGTTTTCCAAACTTGAGCCAGGGGTGGAGAAGGTCTTGGTGGTAACAGTCCCCTGAGACCTTATGACAACAAAGAAATGATGACAAGCTTTGGTCACGCTGCTTCTGTATAGGGAAAGATCGACCAGTCATTAGACTCTTTCTTTCTCTGGAAGTTGCTTCAGAAGTGGAGCCAGCTAAAGCCTTTATTGAGTTTCAGTAACCAAACATGATCAGCATGGACCTGGATTATATGAAATCAGAGTTCCCAGGGACTTGCATGCTTATCTCTTCAGGTCTCCTCTCATCTCTAGAATTACAACTCACAACCACTTCCTGATACCTCTAACTAGTGATTATTTAATTACAACCCATTATGTCTTTGAACTCATCAAATTCTTAGAAAGATTTTAGTATGTATAACTGAAATTTGTCTCTATGTCATTTCCATACATTTCTTTGGTTCAACTTCTTTTTTTAAAAGATTTTATTTATTTATTTTTAGAGGGTAAGGGAAGGAGATAGGGAGAGAAATATCAATGTATGGTTGCCTCCCATGCATCCCCTGCTGGGAACTGGCCTGCAACCCAGGCATGTGCCCTGACTGGGAATCAAACTGCAATACTCTGGTTTGCAGGCCTGAACTCAATCCACTGAGCTACACCAGCCAGGGCCTCTTTGGTTCAACTTCTTGATTTAAATAGAAAAAATATAATCCAATGGTCTTCTAATTTTAATGCAGGGAAACTAGGTATCTTAATTTTTAAAAATCTTTTCATGTATAATTTTCCTGAAGACTCTGGTCATATTTTGAATATTATTGCTTTATTTTCTCTTCTATATGAGAGGCCTTCACAAATGTCAAAGCAGTGATTATATAAGCATGGCCATGCTCTCTAATATATGCCTTCAACTGTTCTTCACATGGCATGGGTTTAAGTCCTCCCACCGTCCTGGTGATCTTTTCTCAGTGTCTTTCAGTTTTGCTTTGCCACTAAACCATTTCATTAGAAAGCAAAAATTGTACTAAAGGAGGGGTATAAGTAGGAAAGAGTACAGCTCAAAGCTGAGAGAACTTCCAATCTTGTGGGCCCTTAGGGAATTCACAGAGAAAAGTGTTTATAAGCAGGGCCAATATTCAGGTGGGATACACCACTATACAGCTCTACTGACTGGACCAGCATCTGTCCTGCCTGATTGCAGGTCCTATTTGACCTGTCGGTGACATGATGTCCTGATATTTATAAATGCTGAATATAATTCCTGATTATGGTTTGTTCTATTTTATTTAATTCTATGCCTGGACATCATCTGCTTACAGAGGCCTTCCTTAACACCTTAACTAAAATAGCCCTGTCAATCACTGTCTGTTCTTCTATGCTGCTTTAGTTTTCTTCATGACACTCATTATTTTTGACATTGTCTTAACTCATTCTATTCTCTCATTCTCATCTCCTCCTTTCCTCCCTTTTCTTTCTCCCTTCTCGGTCTTCTTCCCCCATCCTCCGCTTTCTTTCCTCCCTCCCTCTCTCTTTCTCCTCCTCCCTTCTTCCCCTCTCACTCTCTCTCTATATATGTATATGTATATATACACATATATATATGAATATGTATACCTGTATTTATATTTTCCCTTCACATCTGTTTTTTGGCAAAATTGGCCAATTTTTAATGGAACTTCTTGTTTGGATTCATACCAGCAGTTCATTTTTGTGGTTTTATGTGCCGCCTCACCTTGAAGGAAGAGGAAGGGGTGACTGTCACTCTTGCCAGGAGAACAGCAAAGTTGGCAGTGCTGGTACTTCCCCAGGGGTCCTGGCAGTGCTCCTTATCTGAATGACCTTTATTGTAATTTCTCCAAGGAGTTCCCACCCCCACCACAAATTCTTTTGGAAAGTGGGCTTTCTACTCGGAAACTATGACTCATAATTCTGCTGGGGAAGCTGACTTCTTGAATAAGATGAGTTCTCATACCAGCTCCATTGAGTCATCATGGGAGCAGGAAACATGCCGGAATCCCCTCAGCCCATCTGGCACATATTTACTTGCTTCCTTATGAAAAGGTGTATTGTGTTTTTGTCAGTGATGTACTTCCTAGACAGAGAGAGGGATAAAAAGAAAGTGTTGTTGACAAAAATAAAAGGGGAAACTGGCTCTAGGTTACCAGTGGGGGGAAAGGGTAATTCCACATGCTGGGGGATCAGCCAGCCTCTCGTGCATCAAGGTACCACCTCTTCCGATGATGTATGTGCCGGCAGACTTGTTGGTACCCATCTCAAAGCAACCACATTGATGGGAGGAACAAAGGAGAAATAGTCTGCAAATCCTAGAGTGCTGTAACTGTATATGCTATAGGTAAGAGTGTTGTCTTGTTGTTCTGGGGTCTTTCATGTGGATCCTCCTCTAACGGGAAGCCCCAGATTTATAAAAAAGAACCATAACAATCTAAGAATTTTAGTTCCATGCAGTGTGTTTCAAGTGCGGTGAATTGGACTTCAAGCCACACAATTCTGACTTCAGAACATAGTCTTTCTGGCAGCAATACTGTGATTTCCTTATTTGCTCAGGAATGTGGGAGCATCATTTCCATGTCAGGTGGTGATAAAAGCAAGCATTTACTTTCTTTCAAGGAACTAAAGCTTGGATAATTATAAGAGTGATAATATAATTACAATGTGGTAGGTACAGTGGTAATAAAGCTCTTTGTGCTAAAAAAGCACTTTGTGTTTTACACATTCTGTGTCATCTGACTCTTACACCCAGACCATAGAGTAGTCAGGCTGTTGTATGTAACCCCCCATTTTTTGTTGAATAAGAAAAAATATTCAAGTGGTTAAGTGAATTACCTAAAGTCCCACTGCTAATACTTAGCACAACTTTGACTTGAACTTGTTACTCAGTTCCCAAGATGTATGATATTTTCACTAAATATACTCCCCTTGGACTCTACTATCACATAAACAATTCAGGAAGAACATTAAGATATGACTGGTCGTGGGTTTTGCTTACTGTTAAAGAACCACTCACTACTAACTTTCTGTGCTTTTAGATAAGGAGTATCTAACCACACCCCCCTGATATTTTTAGGAGGAAAATCACTGTAATATATGCTCAAAAGTCACTATTCCCCTATTTGCTTATTATCATATTAATCATTTCCAATACTAAACTCTAAGAAGTTCCTTTTGCAGGAATTCCAAAACAAACTCTACTTGTCGCACATTTCCTTTTGGTGTTTCATTTGGCAGCATGTTAGAAAAATCAAACTGTTAAAGCTGCTTTAAAGTAGAAATAAATATTTGGAACTTGTGATTCAAAGTTGGAAAGATAGTGAGAATGGCATATCATATAATGTGGCAAATTTAAAAAACATCGCCATATCAAAATTATCGGCTACACAGACCCCCTAAAAATGATAGCAATGTGTTTACTTCTCCCAACACAGACACACATTGCCACAGCTACCTTTAATACAGCTTTTTATTTAAACATGAACAAACAGTTGACTGTGCACCAGTACAGGGCTAGATTTCACACACGTTATTATGAACTTCCCAGAAAACACTGTGGAGGTGGGGAGCTGGATAGTTTAGGAAGGGAGGAGCCAGGCTGGTGGCCTCCATCAGCAGTGCTCTGGGTAGCATGCCTGATACAGCTGGGTTTTGGAGACAGCCTTGACTCCAAAAGCAGAATTCTTCCGTTTTACTTCACCTTCCTTTACGACTTTGTTCTGCTAATGGAGGTAAAATTTCCGGATTTTTTTTTATTCTTTGTAAGAAATTTACAAGGGTGGGAATAATCTTTTGCTTACTGAAGGCGAATTACACTATGCAAAATCAGTAAATAACTGAAAACACTATGCATCACCATGAATAAAGAAACATTGGTTTCAGACCCTGGCTGGCCGGGTAGTTCAGTTAGAGCCTTGTCCCTATACACCGAGGCTGCATGTTCGATCTCCAGTCAGGGCACATGCAAGAATGAACCAGTGAATACATAAATGAGAGGAACAACAAGTTAATGTGTTTCTCTCATTCTCTCTCTTCCCTTTTCTCTCTCTCTCTAAAATCATATTAAAACATTTTTAAAAAGACATTGTTTAAGTTCTGACTGTTTTACTTTGTGAGTTTTTTAATGACAGTAAAGAGGTCATTTAATCACTCTGTGTCACAGCGTCCTCATCTATAAATCAAAACGACCAATGAACACCAGCTAAGCCCCGGCCAATTCTACCTTCTTGCTTTTTTATTAAACAACATTATGAATATGATTATACATCATGGACATACATAGCGTGTGCTCTTCCTATTTAAGTGATTTCTAATGACAAGTGTTTATCTTATGAATTTCACCTTATTCTAAAGATCATGTGTTTGGCCATTTTATATTATAAACTCTGGGGTAAATAAGGACAGGTTCTTATTGTAAATATCTTGCAGTAAAGTCTGAGAGAAAGAGAGAAAATAAACACTAAAGAGAGCACCCTGAGAGAGCAGAGAAAGTCACTAGTTTTGCAGGGAGGCATGGGGCAGTCTCCTCAATCAAAGAACAATTGTAGTCCTGTAGAGAAAACACATGCCTTGTTTGGGGACACTACAGTGCAGTGCAGCTGAAGGGATGGTGGGAAGGCGATTTAGAAGACAAGTTAGAGAGGTGGGTAGGAAACAGATTGTGGAGGAC